TGATCACTTCGGTCATGGGCTCCAGACTTTCGGGGTCCGTGTAGGCTGGGTGAACCCCTGGACCTATTGCCCTGAAGTCATCTTTAAACGGAAACCAGAAATATCCCTTGAAGTCTTCTCTAAACCAAATGGTAGTTTCCCTTAACTTGTCAAAAAGATTGGCTTTGCGCACTATAGGCTTTTACGCACTGGCTCCGTGGGATCCCGTTGACAACAGCAACTCAAAAGATTCCATCGGACCTTACGAGGCAGTGAGTCTGTGTGAATGTCAGGGGGCAGCTCGGAAGGGGAGGGGAGGATGCATAGTCGCCCAGCTGGAAGAATGTCATCACGGGCACAGACTTGTCCATATAGAAATGGCTGAGTCGGTGTATGCTCTGCTAAGAATATGCTCGACGACTCCAAAAACTAAAGAAAGCAAATGAAAAGCAAAAGTTCCATCACTTCAGATTGCAGCTAGCCCCATTGTTGAGATGGAAGGGTATTTGAATTGTCCCTTCTGGTTTTATGGTGATAAAATAACAGTGTATCTTAGTGTAATGTGTTTTGCCTCTAGTTACGCTTTTTATACTTATGGGTTTTATTCTAATAATTCTGCTTTGTAGTAAGTACAAAGAGCTAATTAAGACACCCTCCCCTTTCTCATTAGCATTGAGGAGGGTTCTGTCTCAATTGTTGGCATATCTGACTGTACAATTGTGTCTATGTCCCGAGCGGCCCAGGCACCTGCCTTGTCCAGGTCCCCGGCCACTGAGGACTTCAGATAATGCATGGACATGCAAGCCCCTGTGGCTCTAGAAGTGAGCTCAAGGTGAATTTATATAGGCTTGCGGCCATGCATTCTTTCTCAGAACTCTTGGCTAAGATGGTGCCCTTGAACTGGGGGAGAGCTCCAGGCTGTGGCAAACCCGTGGCATGTTTATTGATAGTCAAACTCACGGGACCAAAGCTATGGGCAGCACAGTGCTGACCAATAAGAGGTCCCAGTTAGAATGGCTAAACCGTGTTGAACAAAAATCACATTTAAGGGGGGCGGGGGAGAGACCAGACTTACTAATCTGAAAGAAACTAAGGGGACCCCCCCCCAAGACAATTGCCTGAAGACAGCTTCCTAACTTGAAAGTGAAGATGCTCTCAGGGACCCCTCTTCAGCCATTTCATAGGTGGGCCTATCACATAAACAATAACACCCGGGAAGAAGGCGTTTCATCAACCATGCGACTGTAGGAGACCACAGGGGCAACCTTTGCCCAAGTCCAAAGACGAGAAGGCAGGGAGGGGCGGGCAACGTGGACAAGTGTAAAACCCAGAGCGGAGGAGAGGAGTGCGCTGTGCGCATTGTGAGGATTGGTGAGGCCACCAGTGTCGTGGAACAATCTGGGTATGAGCTTCTGATTGGGAAACTGATCTGCCAGGTAAACTCCCACAGAAA